AACATAGCAGCAACAAATAACGAGACACGGGTATTTCCCGTGCCGGACCATTCCTCAAACCGCCCGTAAAACCCGTAAATCTTTGACATCCACCGCGAGTCTCCCTTACTGCTGCTTGACTCCATTCCACTGTTATCACAGTAAAACTCAACGCTGCTGCTTTCACTTGACCTGGAGACGCGTTTGATGCTGGAAATATTGAGTTTTAAAAAACAAGAACCAGTGAAAAGAAAAGAACGGGTTGCAAATTGCATTAAAAAAGAATGTTACAAATACTTACACAAATACTTCGAATACTAGATATAGAAGGTACTGTATATTTCTAGTAATATCGCTTTGATACAAGTAAGGGCAGCTATCACAACATAAGTATATAGGTATAATATTATTACGTACCTAACTGTGGCATGGTAATAATAGATGCTGGTACTACAATACCATTGCCTTTCTCTGTGATTCCTTGTACTCGAAACCGATAGGTCACCATTGGTTCTAAGCCACTAACAACAGTCGAAAGACAGCTGCTACAACAGTTAGTGCTTTGCCACGTGTTCATAGTTGACGGGCGGTAATTGATTTTGTAGCCTTGGAGATATCCATTGTAATACGTAGTGTTGATTGGGGTCCAGGTTACTTGAGCTGATGTAGTTGCTATGCTAATTATAGAACTAACTACGGGTCCCTTCCTTGCCACTAGAATACAACAATATCGTAAATCAAACACTGAACTCTATTTACATGTGAATATAAACTCATTTTTAAGAACATTAAGGACAATTGTGGCGTAGCGAGCACACGCGTTTTGTCCAGAAAATTCCCGCCAAAACTACAGGTAGCCCACCAAAATGTAAAAATCTACGTTTTTTAATCAAACTTTTGATGGTCGATCCCTCGCTACTCTCCTGTCGTGATTAATTAAAATTATTTGCTACAGTTTCTCGTTTGAAGATCTACTGCCGGGAATGCCATGAAATACTTGGGAAATACTTTACCATTATAAGAATAAAGAGCAGTTGGGATGACAGGCATCAAGCCGATGGTGCAATTAATATCCATTCACTCCTGTAGTCTAAGGATTTCATAAGCAGTTGATGAGAAAAAGGTGATATTGACAGATGCCATGACACTTCCCTGCCTATAAACAAACATTAAATCTTCAGTTAGGACACCATGTGTGCTGCTGGGAATGACACAGGTAGCCCAAATATATATAATTTTGTTACCAGCTCTTTATCAACTTGACGTCTTTAACCAAACGACTTGCTCCTTCGTAAACCAAATCCACCTAAAATGTAAACAATAGAAGACAAAGAAGTAGTGAAAAGAAATTTTTACACAAGTGAATATAATAAAATAATAAATTCGGCACGCTCATTGGTCACAATTTATGCTGTTATTTTCACCTACAGGTGAATATAACGAGCGCTCGCGCACGCTCGTTTGTCGATTTGAGCTGCTTGCTTGAGTTTGTGTTGAAAAAAAAGACACGCGTCTCGGTAAATATTCCCATATATTCACTTCACCTACGACGAATGATAATTAACTAGCATAATTTTAGACGGACTTGATTATAGAATTTCTCGCGAAGTGATTCGTCGAGCGACCAGTGGTTCTTAGACGATAATCACTGCTCGAGCAATGATTATTATATTCAAAAGGAGTTTGATCTTCACTTATGACTTAAGCCAGTTTTATTATATATATAAATAAATAAAATTCTAGAAAAAAATTTGCAACCAAATGTTTCTACGCAGTGCTCTGTATCCTGATAGAACACGCACTTCCACTAATCACAGCGCGTGCAACACAAACCACCACAAGCACAGGGAGCCCAATTTAGATAAAAGTAAAAGGTGAAAATAAACTTGGGAAAAATAGACTTCTATTTTTTTTTTTTWATTAATTAATTGATTTATTTATTTATTTTTTGTATGCAAGGTAATATCTTTCATAATGCAAACGCGCGAAGAAATCCATAAGAGATGCACTACAACATTTTTTTCCGCGTGCGCCTTCGTTTTCCTATATGAAAGTATTGCAGCGCATTTTGATGGGTTTTGTTGAGTTTATTTTCGTCTTTCAATTTTGTCTAAATTGGGCTCCCTGTGCCAAAAGCCGCTTACATTTTTACGGATTTTGCTTTCAAGATCCTTGAACTGTGTGCTTTCACTTTTAACTAAATTTTCATTCCATAATTCTTCTGTAAAATTTGCTTCGAGAGTTATACCTTAAAATAAAGAAAGTAACAAATCGCATTAGTATTTGTAATGACTAAATAAGTCAACAATACGTACATCGATAAGTATTAAGGACGTCCATGAGGACTTATCATGCGACACACTCAATTTCCGCAGTTACTGAAGTAATAACCTGCGGTCTCGTGCAATTTCAAGTCTTCAACACACTCGTGCGAATTAATCCCACTCGAAACCGTGTGATTACCTATACAAATAGAAAACGCGCGTGCCTGCTGCTGTAGTTATAAAGCACGCGGGGGTTGGCAGAACACGAGAGAAGTGTCAGGAGAAGCACGACGCGTAGCGGAGTTCTTCTCAATACTTACCCTACTCCCATGCGTCATCAACTTGCGCGCGCACGCTCTTTCCGTTCATTGTTTTGATCACTAAAAACGAAACTGAAAGAGCGCGCGCTAGCAAGTTGAGTACGCACGGGAGTAGGGTAAGGCGAAATTTTAAAAAACTGCATCCGGTTACTAAAAATAGCCCAACCGGGAATTTACATGGCGCGCGCCACATAAGAAGCTTCCCTCTCGTATTCACGCTCTCTTGCATGCACTCAATTGTAAAACTAAAGCATTCTTGCCAATAGAATTAGAAATTTAAAATATTTTAATATCTCGTTGTATCATTTAATTTACCTGGACAATGGTTAGTGTTGCAGTACTCGCTCTCATTAAGGTTGGAATAGCAAGGTGAAGTGAGGCAAGTACGAGAACGATTCCTTATGCCGTCTCCACATCTCTGGCTACAGTTGGTCCAGTTACTCCACTCACTTACAGAACCAGTCCCTGTGTCAAAGTAATGATGGATAAGGCAAACAACCAAGCAATTAATCAGTCAGTCAATCAGTAATGATGATGATGATGATGATGAAGATGACGATGATGATGATGGTGATGATCAACATACATCTTAAAATTCTTACTTGAAGTGTTGCAGTTGGTGGTGATGTTCAACGTATCTGTACATGGACCAAATGGCGTATCTGGTAAAGATCTGGCTGCGACGCAAATGGCGTATGTCTGGAATGAGTTGATTTTTGTCACATTCAGTAGTGATCTGTGTTTAACTATAACGCTTATGGCTGCTTGAGGGCCCTCGCTGTAGGTATAGTATTTAACACGGTAGTGTCTTACTAAACCAAATGTCACACTACGATCTGGATGATACCAGCTCAACTGAATCATGCTGCACGATTCGTCGACAGAACCAAAAAGGGATGTCGGAGGATACTTGACAGCTAAGATGAGAATAAACCAAATAATATCTAAATGATCAAACCAGCAAGTTGGTTATGTCATGTTTAACAAATTCCCTCCAGTTTTCCGTGGTGTGTCCTCTTATTTTACCGTGATTTTTGTCATCTAGCCGTCAAAATGTTGTGGACTCACGAGGCGTAACCAAGGGAGTCAACGACATATTTTGACGGCTAGATGACGAAAAAAGTRTTAAAGAAGGGGACATACCACGGAAAACCGAAGGAAATTTTTTTTTTACCATAGAAAATTTAAAAAATTACTGAAAAAAAAGGGTAAAATTTAAAGCGCACGCATGGTTTGTTGCTTAAGTAACTTTTCGATATGTCCTCCAGTTTCCCCCTGCTCTAAAAAGCGATAAAATTCACAATAGTAATAAAAATACTAACAAACATACCTTCTTCATCCCTACTGGTGGTTGGATCACTGCCTGGTCCTACATGTGTTGTAAAGGGATAAACTACTGCCGTGTACTTATTACCCACATCTAAGTCATACATTTTATGGTAACGTTTAGCAATGACTGAATAATTCTTGGCTTGACTCTCGTTTCCATCGGTAGGCCAAATGCTAATCGTGAATCCCCGGAGAATGCCCCTTAGACTAGAGCTGACTCTGTGTTGCCAGTTGACATAGATACAGGGAGTATCATACTTGATATTTAATACCCGTACGTTGTAGGGTTTATTCAATGGAGCTGGATGGGAAAAACAAATGGACGAGTTTAAGGTTTTACTAAGGCAACTCCCCTTTTTTTTCCTGACTTCTAACCCTCTCCCTCCCCCTGCAATGTTGATTCTGGTTCATCAGAATATCAATGAAATCACTGGCAAGTGTAGGTACGAAAAGACAAAACGTTCCTATATGTTCAAGAAAAGAAAGAAAGAAAGAAAGAAAGAAACAATAGTGTTTATCGTACCTTCTTCTTCGGTTTTCACAGTTACATTTTGACCTGTTTTCACAACTTTTTTAGCATCCAATACACCTACTTTGACAAGGTAATCTGTCATAGCAGTCAGGCCCTGTAACTCATATGTTGTGACATTAGGACACAAAATTACTGTGATATCTCCAGCTGCGTTGTCTAAAGCCTGGATAGAAACGTAATAACCCAACCCAGGGCTTGTAGAAGGAACCCATGTAATACGAATAGAAGACGTTCCTGTACTAATAGCCGTGATATTGGTTGGTGGACTGATAGGTACTGAAAGATATAATGAAATGAAATGATGATCCTGTTAAGCATGGGGTCTGATTTGATTGATACAATATAACTTGTCCTCGTTTTACTAGGGTAGTACTTAATAGCCAGTGCCTAACAAACCTGTCGCCCTCGTTCCATGATCGAAACTTAGAAGTCGATTTTCGCGGAGGGAAGAAGAACAGGAGAAAAACCATCGATCAACCAACTCTACTCACATTCGACACCGGGTTTTCGAACTCGGGTCACCTTGATGAGAGGCGACGCATTAGAAGCGCAAGTCACCCGTGCTAGCTCCCATGCATGTAATGGAGCCCTTGCTGATCCTTCAAGTCAAAGTATTATTAACTCCTGTCTGCTCCACTTACCTTCTGGTATGGTGAAATTTACAAGTTGACTTTTGGGACCATCTTTTCGTCCAAGAGCTTGAACTGAAACGTTATAAACTAATCCTGTCTGGAGACCATTCAACGTGGTGGATGATTCGTTAMATGAAAGGATGGACCATGAAGTTATATTTGTTGTGGAGTAAGTTACGCGATATCCCTGAATCAGACCTCTTATTGGATAATCAACCTTTAGCCAAGATACTACCGCTTGTGTTTGTGATACAAGACTAACAGAAGTGATTACAGGCATCTGGTAGATTCCTAGTTCAAAGAAATAGATCTACTCGTTACTAATCCGACTGGTTCAGTGGTTGGTGAGTGTTGTCTGACTGGTTGGGACTAGAACATGGGGATAGAACAGAATGGAATGGTATAGGAATAAAGTGGCATAATACAAAAATATTGACCTAACCTTGTTCAATTTCATCCAGACATTTATATTTGGCCATTGTTCTTTGTGCACTCGTCAACCAAGCATTGTACACCTGAACACAAGCCATCTTTCCATCCAAATGGTGCCCTAACTCTATTTTCTCTCCAAACAACATTGTAATGCTTTGGGAAGCAGAAGCGATATTTTCCTTGTGATATTCCACTTGACCATCTAGCTCAAGCAGCACGCTTCCTCCTCGTACACTCGTAAAAGAGAAACTGATAAAGTACCATCTTTTTGTCAGTAACTTAGTCGTCCCCGTTGCTTTAAATTTGTATTTGTAATGATGGATTTCGTTCTTATATGTCAATTCTACTTCATACAAATTATGCTCAATATTTAATTTTAATTTATTATGCTTATAGAATGTATTGGAATCAGTTGACTTCATCATTATCCAACTACAGACTGACAGAGCAAACTTTGGTTGGAACGGAGAAGATGGGGACACACGTATCTCTCTCATTGTGTCGGAAGAAAATCGTACGGCTTTGTATGGTTCATTTAATACTCCAGTTCGTTCAGAGCTCGATGTTGCAAACTCTCCAGATACTTTTATCGTCATGGAAGCATCAACGACGTTTTGAAGAGTTTGATTGTCAGAAAATGGGAAGAAGGCAATCGGTGGTGGTAGAGCTGTCATAAGAGAAAGAAACTGCATCAAAAAGCATGTACGAAATAAGGAAAAGAGTCAGTTAAAATCGACAAAAATCTAATTGGTTTGCCACTTTATGCTTTATGGTGTGCGGAAAGTCTAACAGGTTTTACAACCCACTTGATAAGGCTGCCGATAGATTGGATTGGAGTTTAGAATTAGTTATTAACGGTGGAAAACCTACATGCAAAGTACATCATGCATGGCTTTGAGCATAACACTACAAGTCAAGGGTGCAAACCTTTTCGAATCGACAACTACTCGCCCGTGTATGCTCTACCATACTGGCTATGCAAGTCAAATCAATATTTTTCTCAAACCAGATGTACAAATATTTTTGAGTTGAGTTGAAGTCATACAAGCATTAATGCACACCTAATGCGTTAATCTATTTATCCTAGGGTATAAAAATACATTAAGTTGAAACATGAGAATTCGTATGGTCAATCTTAGCAGCAGTTAGGTGGACTCGCGAAGCGCCGGCATTGCCAAAAATCACAAGTCGAAAAACACC